CGGTAGTAAAAATAATATTTTTTCACTGCGCGAATTAATAGCGTAAAAACGGAATTTTTTTGGTGCGCGAATAAAAGAGTACTTTTACATCGATTCAAAAAGGAGCTGTTTTCATAAATTTATTAGTGATTTGTTTTGTTTTCCAATGGACACGATTACAGGACGTTGTTTTAGTGCCTCTGGGACTCGTGGCTAGCGACATTCATGGCGTATAGTCGGGAAGAGAACACGCACTGCGTCAAGGACCACGCACCATGTTACACTTGAAAAGGTCACTCAGTACACAAACAAACAATGAACACGTGGCTACAAAGTAGCCGTCAGGCTGCACTGCCCCTTTTTTATTTTTCTAGGCAGTACCGTCAGACACAAATTATTAATTGTTCGACAGGTCGTCGGCAGTGAAGCCGTCAAACCAATCACCATCTTCGTCGTCGTTTAAAAGCAGATCGGCAATAATTTCTGCTATTTCAGTTTTGCTTCGGATAAGGTGGTCTTCTGCCCTGTTGATTGCATTTTTGTAGCCATGTGTTCATTGTTTACATAATTGTTTTTGTTTTTGTCAAGCACTTTCATCTACCGGATTCGGCTGTTACCCCGCGCTGTGGTATACCCGACTCCGGCGGTGGTTTGTTGCTATTATATTATACCAACTTCATTTCTGTAGCATTTTCGACATTCTCGGCCTTTTTACAAAAAAAGAAAGAGCCGTTTTCGAACGACATGTAATGAGCATCAGCTGGTCGACACGGTGATCAGATGAAATAGGCCCTGGAACCAGTATTTAATCTTTTATCATACACTCGCGCTCAGTACACAGAAACGCACAGAACATCAAGTTTAGATATCATCACAATCAAAGGAAATTTACGACGCAAGAAACTAACAAATAATTAGAAATTGAAAAAATTGAAGAAGCTCAACGCTTAATTTACATATGAATAGCTGTGAATAAATTATCATCAGCAGAACATTATCGGCAGCTCGCACTGTGCGCCATTTTTGAAAACATGTGCTGTGGACTTATTATAGTTGTCGAATTTTCTATTTTGTGTTTGTTATGCTGACATTAATTGGTTCACTAAAGGTGCAGTTATGGAACAAAGCAAAGCTGCATGTGTACTTTGATTGTGGGTATTAGAAATAGAAGCGGTGCCAGATTCTGCGGGAGTTGGTCCAGACGCTACTATGCCGGTGTTTTCTGGGGTACGGATAACGTTGTCGGAAACGCCCGCTTCGATCGCTACGGTCACTTCTCTATCATAGGATTTGTTTTTATATCTAAAACTGCGAGACTGGACATTCCTCGACTCTGATTAATTGTGAGTTTGTTGGTGTAAGACCGAACACTAGCTTCGTTTTTATGTGCCGCGAAATGCATATTGTGCCTGGGTTCATCCCCTGCCGAATCTAACACAGCGCACGCATTTGCCCTAACATAATGATTTGTATGAATTGTCAACAAATTTGCTGCTATCGAAATCTTTCATCATAGATCCTAGCCCTGCGTACAGTGCTGTGTGTACGGGGACGCGGTGGTGGGG